GCTGATTCGAATTGTGTAGCTTCCAGAAAGTAAAATAAAGTTGATTTAATTAACAACTGAGTTTAAGGTTAAATTTAGAGTGTCAATTTAGTTGAGTCAAGTTTTATATGCTTAAATTGTCATGTATTTAGAATAATCTATTTTATATAAACAGTACTTTGCATTTGTTTAGAATTGATATAATGTTAATCACACATTATTTATTGTAATAAATTACATATGAAAAAACTATCTCAATTAAATAAATAAACTCGAAATTTTTTCTTTGATAAATTATAATTACTTTAAACTTTGTTAGTTATTTGGTTTGTCTATTAAATAAATTAAATATTAAACTCAAATTCAAAGTCTTAAAATTAATATTAAATTAATAAAAAAAATAATGAATACCTTTTTGAATATGATTACAAAATTGGATGGATTCTTTGTTTCTTTCAGCCCTTCATTTGGGTTGACAGAATAAAGAGTATTTATAAATCAGTTTTTGGTGAAATGGCAACAATAATAATCTTGGCATTTGTATTTGTTTATTCATTAAATTAATTAATGATATGGGGATCAGGTTAAATGATATATAAAGTTTTAACATAATAAAAACTCATTAGTGAAGGAAGTTATTTAGAATAAGTTTTCTTAAAAAAAGATCCCCATCAATTTGTTGATTTAGTCTTTAATAGTACAATAAATCCGTTTGATAACAATTAAATGACTATTATTCCATTACTTTCAATCTCTAAGGAAGGAATGGGTTATTAGTTAGATTATTAAGTACATGAATAATAGAAAACTATACAAGTGGATTTGAATAATTTACTTTATAATGCTTTTACAATACAAACATCTATTGAATTACCACTAGATACAATTTTTAGTAGCGAATTATAAATTTATACAAATTACGAATTGATGGAAATAAATTTAGGATATTTATTTGAATCATCCGAAGAGTATATAATAAACAAAGGATATACTTCTTCAATTTATACTTATTCTAAAGATTATTATACAAAATTGTACTACAATTATTTTGGTAATAAAGAACCAATAGCTTCAATTACTTTGGAAATGGATATTTCAATTTCGTATGTAAGGAATTAATATCCAACCATAAGCAAGTTTTGGCTAACATAGGTTCAATAATTTAAACAATATTATTAATTAGATACTTATGTTATGCTTTGAATAAAAATTAATTAAATTACTATATGAAATTTGCCATATTGGCTAACTATTATCCTGAATGGAAAGATATTAAGGTAATCAATAAAAATAAAACCAAAACTTGTGTTTTAGATGATAAGAAAATAAAAACTACAAGTGTTAAGAGATTTGAGAAAGTAGAGAATGAGATGTTAAATTTAAAATTTGACTTTATTAATTTACTATATGAAATACATCAAATGTAGAAGATTTTACAATTAATTACACCATCAGATCTGCGCTTAAATATTCATTTAAATTAATCCAAATTATTATTTTAAACAGATCAAGATTTAAATGATTTTAGTATTAAATAATAGTTTTAATAGAACATCATTGTTTGAGAATGAATAAATACAAAATTAACATAAATTAAAGGAAAAATAGGATAATGTAGTTTAGATAGATTGTTGATGAATTAAGAATTTAAGACAGTAAAAATTGTATTGAGATTCATGATTAAATTATTTAAGATTGAATAATAAAAATAATAATTATAATTATATCTATGAATATTATTACAATATTTTTCAGTCATTTCAGCAGTATCTTTAAAATTTTTATCTCAATTAGAATTTAATTTTAACAATAATTCTAAACCTTATCTATTACAATGATGATTATTTCGAAATAAAACTTCAATTTTTTGCCTTTTTAGATCATCTTGTTTAATAATGTATAGCAATAAATACTTATAAATTAGATTTAAAATACAAAAGTTTTATTTTATATATCTTTAATTAAGTTTATTTTTAAATTTTAAACTATTATTATATTTTAATATAGTGTGAGAATCAATAAATTATGAATATGTTATAATTACAAAATTTCAATCATTTATGAATACTTATCATTAGCATAAAATTTTTAATAAACTAACTTACCAACATAAATCAATACAAATGTTTTTAACTGAAAATAAAATTTAATTATGAATGATAATATTTCAGAGAATCAGTTTTATGAGAACCTAGATTATTAAATTATTAATTAAAAAAAGCAAAGATGATAAAGAGTATAATACTAATGTTTAATCTCCAAATTTTCTAAAAATATATTATTTTCAAAATATGTAATAGAATTAGAAAATTTAAGGGGTTATTCAT